AATTTATGCCTTTTTTTATCCCTTTGTTGTGCCAGCCACAGATTTTCCCAGGTGCTCCAGCGTGACAGTGATCTCCAGTTCGTAACTTCTAACACACATTAATTGCCATCAGTGTTTCTAGGGCTTTATTTTTTCTTTTATTTCACTTGTGTAGCTGCTGTCTGTGCTTCCTTCCTGCACTCCACAGTCAGATCCTCGGGGAAGGGAGGGGAAAATGGACAGAGGGGCCCAGTGTCCATCCCACACCCCTGCCCAGGGCTGTCCTGGCACTCCCTCAGTGCTCTCCACCAAGTGAACAGCCACAAAACCCCATCCCCTGACCTGGAGCAGCTCCAGCTTCTCCTTTTCCTGTGGGAGCAGACCCCAATAACATCTTTGGTGCAGGAGAGGAATCCCCAAACCCAGGCAATGTGCTGGGGAGCAATAGGGACAGGGACAGGGACAGGGTGATGACACATACAGGACCCCATTCACTGCCATCCCCTCTGCTTTCCCAGGGGCCTCACACCCCCAAAACAGCCCCCAAGCCCCAGGAGAGCTTTGGGGTGGTTGATGCTGTGACAAGTTCCTGTGTACTCATGAACAACAGAGCAACCAGAGCACTTGTGGTGCCCTGGGATCCCTGGAAGTGTCCCAGGCCAGGCTGGAAAGGGCTTGGAGCAGCCTGGGACAGTGGGAGGTGTCCCTGCCATGGCAGGGCTGGGATGGGCTTTAATGTCCCTTGCAACCAAAACCATCCCATGATTATTCCATGGAGTGCCAGCCCTCCCTAATCCAATAGCATGGGAGGCTGGAGGCTGAGACCTTCACAGGTGTGTCTGGGCATCCTCCTTAACCCTTACAGCTGTACCTGGACATCCTCCTTAACCCTACAGGTGTGTCTGGAAATCCTCCTTAACCCTTACAGCCCCTCCCAGCAGGAGCACAGGACAGGAGGGACACCTGTGGGTGTGAACAGTGCCCACACCAGTGACAAGGAGCAGGGGGCAGAACCAAGCTGGCAATTAATTATTAATTATTGTGCAGATGAAGCAGTGGGAAGGCACTGCCTGGGAGCCAGCTGTGCCTCCAGCTGCCCTCCAGGGGTGGCACTGGGCTGTGACTGTCATTGTCCCTGTCCCTCACAGGTTTAACCTGTAAATCCCCCCGGGCTCTGTGAGCAGAGCAGGAGGAGGAACCAGGCCCAGGATGGTTCCCAGCTCCCAGGAGGGGCTGCCTTCATTGTGAGCAGCAAAACAAGACTGGGAAATGCCAAAGTGTGACAAGATGTGGCTGAGGACAGCAGCTGTGTCCTGGGGCAGGTTTAGTCACACATCTGCCCAGTCCCAGCTCACAGGGTGTGAAATGAACCATCTCCCTCCTCCTTGACATGGAACACTGGTGAGAGAACAAGCAGAGCCCAAGTAGCAGAGGGGAAAAGGAATGGTTTTCCACACAAGCATTTAAATAGCATGATTTTTTTTCCCCTGAAACTGAAACAAAAATCTCCAAGTTTGCAGTCAGCTGGAAACAGCACAGACAGGAAGGAGCTGTAAGAGGTACCTCGAGATCTGTGCAGCTCCTGCCACTGCCATGAATTTATGGAGGTGCCTGGTCCCACATCACACAGGTGATCATCCCTGCCTGGGCCCAAACCAAACCCAAACCAGACCAGGAGGATTCCCTTTAGCACTTCCCTCTATTTTCATTGGGATAGCACTGACAAGAAGGGCAGTGGTCCATGAATTCTTTACAACACTCTTCACTCAGGGGAGAACAATCAGCTCTGACAGCACTGAGAGCAGAAATTTTCAGTTTTCAGCACAGGAATAACAATCCAGAGATTATGCAGATGAGTGAGCTGTGTTCATGACTTCTAAATCTGACTTAAAACTGGTTAAACTGAAATCTTAAGCAGCCTTTGAGAAACTGAACATCTGACAAACTCCCAGAGCGTTGCTGGTGCTGAGGGGGATTTTGGCCAGCTCTATTTAAAGCCATCCCTGGATGTAAAGACACCACACAGGTCAGAGACACCAGGGCTTGGGTAAACACATAAAATAAATCCACCAAGAACGGATTTTCCATCATATTCTGGAAAATCACCCACACCAGAAGTTTCCCAAGGCTGTGGAAGTCCAGCTCAGTTCAGACCATGTGATTTCTCAAAAACAAGACAAGTCAGGAAAATTGTGAGATGTGATGTGGCCACAAGACCAAGGCCAGCTGATCCCACACCAGGCTGTGCTGAGGCTGCAGCTGGTAAAAAAGGGAATGGGAATGAATGGTCTGGGATTGCCTGCTGGGAAAGGAGCTCAGAGGGACAAGAGCTGCCCTTTGTAGTGGTTCCACTCACAAGCACGTGGAATATTCACTGGGAAGGTCAAAAGCCCAGGTGTGCCTCTCATCTCCTCTCCTCCCCACCACTCTGAGCTGCATTCAGCTGCTGAAGGACCTTCCCTGGGCCCAGGGAGCACCAATTATCCCATGGAAAGGAGCACCAGGGAATGCAGCCCCCCCAGGCCATCCCAAGGACAGCAGCCAAGGTCTCCCTGGGCCCAGACCAGCCCTCAGGGACTGCCTGGGGCCTCTCCTGTCCTGGTGGGAGATGCTGTGAGCACCAGGCAGGAATGAGCCCCCACACAGCTCTGTGGGATTCCTTCTTCATGCTCACCTATTCCAGAGGGATCTCCAGGACTGCTCCAAGCCCAGCTCTCAAGGGATTTAAACAAGGATGGAGGAATGCACTGGTGCCTGGGTTTAGGTGTTTAGATGCCATTTGAAGTCAGCCTGCTTCCTGTAGTTGCTGCTGAATTCCACCAGTGGAAGAATGGCAAATCTGTCTGGTGGAAAATATAAAGAGCACATGTGAAAATCCAAGAGGTCAGAGAGAGCTGGCACTTCCCCATCCTCCTTCCCAAATCATTTTCTCCTGACTGCAGCTTTCAGGACAGGAAAACCATTCTGGACAAAAGCTTGGCATCTCCCAAAGCCTCTGACCAGAGCAGTGTGGAGCCCAAATCCAGCAGATGAATTATGATCAGCCCTGGATTATATTGGCTGAAGCAGAGCAAGTGCCAGGACAGGCAGAGAGAAGAGTGATGGGTCCCAGAGCAGGGAATGTGGAGGGTCTGGGCAGCACAGTGAGGGCCAGACACACTCTGGGAATATTTCACCTTCCTGCCTCTGCCTCACCAGGGAAACAAAAGAGATACAGATGCTGGGTTATAAATTTTAAAGCAATTCTGCTGAGAACCTCCTTTTGAATTTAGAGGCAAATTCTTCATATAAATGGATTGAGAAATTCTCCCTCTGAAGTCATCCATCTCTTAATAGGACATCCTGACAGCAGCTGAGTCAATCCAATGTCCGCTGTTGATTTGAGGGTGTTCATCCAAGGCTGACATGACATTTCTTTTGTTGACAGAGCTCATATGTTACAGCAGCCTGTCCTTCATATTTCTCTGTCTTTCATTGCTTCAGCAGCTGCACACCAGGAGAAACTGCTGCATTTACTTATTGCTTCAAGGTCCATTTCCTAGACATTCCTTCCTCCAGCAAAGGGCAGCATTCGTGTGTTTAATCCTAGATTTCAACTGGAGAAGGATTTGCCCTGGAGATGATTCTTCAAAGGCCAATACAACAAAATTCTCCAAAGTGTTGGAGCACCGGATTTTAATTTCAGGAGCAGATACATAATAATGATATTGTTCAGTGCCTCTCATCCCAAAGGATTCTTCTCAAAAGTTGGACTTTGACAGGGAGATCTACCAGTGGATCTGGATGAACATAGGCAGAACTTCATGCACCATGGCATTTCTGGAAAGGAACAAGACAGCTAATTTGAACTTTGTCACATCAAATTCTGAGCCTCGGATTGCTGGGATGAGCATTCCAGCAGACAGCTCTGCTCTTGGAGCGTGGTGGAACCTTCTCCACTGACAGCAAATCTCATTTGGACAAGAAATGCAGCTGTCCTGGAAGCCAGACTGGAACAAAGCCTCAGGAGGTGGGAAAGTGCTCTGGGACTTATAACCTTGTCCTGTCCTTGTGTCCTGGACACTCGAGGGACAGCACACGGGGTCACTGACCTCACCTGACTGTGGTAGCTGCTGGAACTGTCACCTCACACAAAATGTTACAGCAGCCCATCGTCCTTACTGCGGGTGGAGTCATCCTGAAAAGCATTTTCTGAGTGACTGACTAAGGTTTAAAACACTGAGGAGTGCTAAGGGTGTGTGTCCCCCCAGGAACACACTGAGCAGCCACAGCTGCCCACGGTGGTGCCAGCAGTGCCACCACAGTGATTGTCACTTGAGCACGGAGGGACCCTGGGCTGGTCACAGATGTCACTGCTGGCAAATATTCAAGCAGGGGCTCTCTGCTCTGCAATCCCCTCTGTGTGAGTAGGAAGCCTCGTGCTGGCCCTGAAGGTTCAGATCCCCAAGCCCTGATGTGTCCCAGCCCTGGCTCCCTTTGTGAGGTTGCCCTGGGTCCCTGGGGGATGGCACGGGCAGGACAGAGGAGCTGAGGCTGGCAGGAGCACAGGTCCTGCTGCACTGTCCTTGCAGGGCTGCCCTTCTGTCCTCTCTGGGGAGCTCCTGCTCCTTGGACTTGCACGACAGACTGAGAAGTTCAGGAAAATCCCTAAATTTAAAATTCCAAAGGGGAGCTGAAGGAGAGATGAGAGAGAGGCAGCGTGAGGCTGAGCCTTCCTGGGGGCTGTTCCCAGAGCTCAGCAGGCACCTGGCTCCAGTGGGGCTGGCAGACCTCACCTGTGCTGGGCCCACCTGAGGGACCCTGACTGGGGCTGAGCTGAGCCTGCACTGCCCATCTCTGCAGCCCTGTCTGATGCCTTCAGTTTGAGCTTTCCTATTTCCAGACTCTGCACTGCATTGGTGTGTGACTCTGAACTCCATCCAAAGTGTCAGCAAGTTCTCCTCCCAGCTCAGGCACACAAAACAATCCTTTGCCAGCCCCACAACCAAGGACAGCGCTGCAGCTTCAGCCCCAAAAAGTGCAAAGAGCAGCGACTGGAGGAGAGAATGTGGGAGGATGGCACTGCAGAAGCTGGAGCTGCAATTGGACAATGAAGGCCAAGATGGAAATGGAGCCAAAGTGATCCAAGTGTGAGAACTCGTGACTCGGATCCATCTTGGCTCCATCTTGGCTGGAGCCACGGCCGGGCTCTTGCAGTGCCCAAGGTGAATCCTTGGAAGGGCTTGGAATAAATCCCTGCTTTATTCCTTCAGCACTGCCCAGCCTCTGCTCCGGGAAACTCTCCAGGCACCATGGACAGCAGAGCTGGGGGTTAAAGGCCACCCTTAGGCTGCAGCTGGACCAGGGGTTTTCCATGGCTCTGCTGGTGAGGAGCTGCTGAAGAGCTCAAATCCCACCATGGCCCAGTCTGGACTCCATCCTCTCCCCTGACCTTACACAGCACGAGGGGTTACCTCAGGTACAGCAGGAAAATGCCAAAAATCCAGACACAGCTGGGGAGCAGCAGCTGGGAGCTGTGAGATCCCTGCTCTCCACAGGCAGGAGCTGCCTCTGAGGAATCTGCTCCTGCTGGTGATGCCTTAAGTTTTTTCTGTTCTGCCTGGGTGTGCTTTTTGTTGTACTTGGGTGGTGAAGACAAAACAGTTCCTGTTCCAGCTGGGGACTCAGGACAATCTCTTCAAACTTCAGGCCCTAAGCATAAACAATGTGAAAAGAGGAGGGTGGGCAGGCAAGCAAGGAGGATGAAACTTCATGATTTGGAGCTATCAATTGGACAGTTGACTTCTGTATGCAAATGGATTAAAACCTATAAAAATGTGAGATCTCGTGCCCAAGCTCTGTTCTGCTTCCACCTTGGAGCCATCCAGGCAGGGCCACGACTGTGGCACTGGCACTGCCAGGGTGTGACCTTTGAAGGCCCTTCAATAAATATTTAAATAAATATGAAAGTAAATATTTTAAAATATTAAAATAAATATTATTTATTATATAAAACACTACCTAGACTCTGTTCCAGCTCCTCTAGGTGTCACTGGGAGTCCTGCACTCTCACCCCTGCCCTGCTGAGCACACAGTGCAGCTCAGGGAGTGCCCAGGGAGCTCTGTCCCAGCCCCAGGTGTGTCACAGGCTCTGCTCCCTTTCCTGCAGGAGAGCAGCTCTCCCTCCTTGCTGCTCTGTTGCTCTTTGCCTCATGAAGTTTTATTAAAGACTTACAAGGGATTTTCTGCACAGCTGCCCAACCAATGCCCTTCACAGCACATCTCCAGCCCTTTAAATATTCACGAGGCTGGGGCTGCTGCTTAATTGAATTTCCTCTATGGATGAATCAGTTCTTTTTCATCTCCTGCAGCCAAGGTGCAAATTAAGTACACAGTACTGGGACAGGAGACCAAGGAAGCAATTCCTCTTTGGTCAGTGGCCTCGCCCCTGCTGGGATCAGATCTACAATATCATTCTTCTCCCTAGACAGTCTTAAAATCCCAGATTCATGGAATAATTCATGCCAGGATGGGCTGCCAGGAGTGTCCAGCCCAAGCCCTGCTCAGGAAGGGACGCCAGCAAAGACAGAGGAGGCTGCTCAAGGTCTCAAGTGTCAAGCCTCCAAGGATGAAAATCACACCTTTACTTCAAGGCTGGGTGTCCCTCATTTTGAAATTTTCATTTTCTCCTACATTTAGTGACATTCCTGCTGGCTGTGTCTGCTGCCTCGTGTCCTTTGCAAAGCACATCCACCAGGAGCCAGCTCCACCCATCCCACAGCCTCCCTCAGGAGCAGCAGGAGCCTCTCTCAGCCTTCTGCTCTTCCCACCAAACCATCCCAGCACCCTGAGCCTCTCCCTCAGCCCAGCCCCTCGTGCTCCAGCCCCCAGAGCAGACACAGATGTGAGCTCAGAAGAGGAGAAGCTCCCCCAGTCTGCTCCCTGCACAGCTGGCCTTCAGAGACCCAGAGATGCCACCAGGACTGACATTGGCCACTGCCCCAAATGCAGAATTATTTCAGCCCCTGCTTTTCTCCTGAACACAGCAATGGGCAGAAATGCACTGAGAGCAGCCAGGAGACCAGAACAAATTCCAGGAGCTGTCTCAGCCTCCCTTGCTGCTCACATCCCATTTCTTGGAGGTTTTGGGCATTGCACAGAAGTTATTCTGTATGGATGTCTTAGCTCTGAGGTCAGCCAAGGAAGCTGCCCTATTTTCTCCTTGGCCAGGAGCTAATATCAAACTGGGCAGCAAAAAGAAGAGGAAAAGAAGGTCAGTGGCCTGAGCATTTGGGTCACAAGACCACAGGGAGCCTGAGCAGGCAGTGAAGGGACAGGACAGGGACAGGGACAGGTGGAGATGAAGGAGCAAAGTTGGGATTTTATTCTAAGAGGTGCCTCTGCCCAAGTTCAAGTGCAAAAGAGACCACATGCCAAAGTCAATAGAAGGGATTTTATTGAAGAGTAAATGGGAGGCAAAGCATAGAAAGAAACAGGAAGAGAGAAGGGAAAGAAAGGCAGTGAGAGGGATTAAGCAGAAGTTGTCACCACCCCATGGATCCACAGCTGGTCCTTCTTCACCCTGCTCCTCTTGGGGACCCCCAAGTTGCTCTCTGGAGGTGCCACCTTTACCCAATGCCAGTTCCAGGTACCCACGGGGTGCTCACAGACATTCCCACAGCCTGGGCTGCCAGGGGTGAGCAGTGGCTTCCTTTCCCAGTCTGCACACTGGAATTTTGTGTGCTAATTCCAAACCTTCACTTCTGTTGAGGTGTGGAATCAACACCTCCCTTTATGCCATCTGTGCTTATCTGGAGTTCCTGTTGTGGTGATTTATCTTATGGGAGCTTCCTTCTTTGGCAGAGTTTGGCACTTCCACCTGAAATCTCTGAGTCCTCACACAAGGTGAGACTGGGAGAGGCCCCTCCAGAGCTTCACTAAGTCCCAGGCTCAGATTTAAGTGACCTGTGCACATGGGACCCAGAGCAGGGGAGTCTCAGGGAGTGGTTGCCTGGCTGGGTGATCCTTCACATCCTGGAAATGTCTCCTAGTCGGTCCCAACAGAGATGAACTCGTACAAGGTCCTGATTTGGTCTTTACAATATGAGGAAGGAAATCCCCTGCTCCCTTGTGTGGTGAGCCTGTCCCTGCAGGGCTTCTGTTGGGACCAAAGCTGTCCCCAGCTCTGGGGACAAAGCTGTGCTTGTGCATAAAACAGGCAGCACAAGGAGCACCGGGGGTTGTGACAAACAGAATGCACCGATTGCATCCCAGGGCTGCAGTCTGACCTGTGCTCCCCTGCACCACATCCTGCCCTTCCCAGCTGGGGCAGCCCCAGAGCAGCCAAGCCCAGCCAAATCCCCAGCTCTGTCCCCGACTGCAGCAGCAGAAGCCTCTCAGCAAAAGCACCGGGAAGCAGAGGGGCTGTGCGTGGGGAAAAGCCTTCCTAGAGCCCTGTGCATAATTCCACACTCCTAGAGCAGCTGCATCCTTCAGACACGGGGGAGCCTGCCCCAGGCTGGGTGAGTTATTGTGTGCAGGGCTGGGAGCAGGGTGGAGTGTGTCACCATGGCCATGCAAACCAGCTCTGTCCCTGCCTGCTCAGTGCTGGGGGCTCGGGCTCCACTCCAGCCGTGCTCTTTGCACTGTAATTGCCTTTTCCACCACCTGTGACCATGGTGCTGCCTGCAAAAGGAGATCAACCACCCCAGAAATTGCTCTCCACTGTTCCTGGCAAAAGCTTCTGTCATTGGCCTTCTCTGCCAACTAGAAAATTAATCCTGGCAGGAATGCCAGTGTCTGAAGACATCAGGTTCTTAGTGACAGGGATTTTTGGCAGGGAGGGACAAATTAGGGAAGTGGACGCAGCTCTGGCCCCTCCTTGCCTGGTGTTCTCATGTCCCAGATTGCTGGGCTCTGTCCCTGTCTGACTTGAGAGCAAATTCCAGCCAAGGCAGATCCTGTGGCTGCTTTTGGCCACCCCAGGGCTGAATTTCCACCTTGTGGGTGACAGCCACACTGCCCCACACCCTTTGGCCCTGGGGAAGCCAACACTGTCATCCAGATGGGATCTGCTGGGATAGGGAGCAGCTGCATCCCCTCCTTGGGACGGGCCCTTTGCAGCCCCTCCCTGCCAGGAGTCACTGCTGAGGCACAGCCACAAGCCCAAAGCTGCCTCCCAGATGAGAAAATTCCCTTTTCCAGGCAGCACAGCCCTGTGTGCAGACACAGCTGCCTGCACACAGCACAGGGACACATCTGTCCCTGTCCCCAGTGGATGGGACACAGCAGGAGAGGAGAGAGGGATTTAAGGGTGAAGGGCAGAGCACCAGGAATTCCTGCAGACCTTTTCCAGAGCTGCTGAAGTAGGACAGCAGGGCCTGGCCCACTCCAGGGATGCAGCCTGCTGGGTGTGAGGATAAAAGAAAGGCCAAGCCTGGGTGAGACACAGATTAACATTTAGTTCAGCTCCTTTAGCAGCATCCCTGTGGGATACTGGGCAGCAGGATGGGGGCTTTGCATCCTTCCAGCAGCCATCCTGCCCTGCTGGGGGGAACAGCACAAAATCCTCGCCCAGCTCCCTGCAGCCCATCCTGAGCCCAGCTGAGAACAAGGGGAAAAGTGCCATTTGTTGGATCCTGGGATTTATTTCATCTCCAGGAGATAAGATTCAGAAAGCACTGAGAGTTTTCAGTGGTGATTCTGAAGGAGCTTTCTTTCCAGAAAAGTAAATTTTTTTATTTAGTCCAACTCCTCCATAGAAATAACAGCTCTTTCTCATCCAAAAATATTTTCAGTTCAAATATAATGCCTTGAAGAAGCTGTTTTGCATCTGCCAGGCCATGACAATAAGTCATCCAAAGCCTCACCTTGGTGTGTCAGGTGCATCTTCTTCTCTGCAAGGTTCCCTCAAGATATCTGCTCTGAATATCATCTCTGTGAAGGACAGGGTACCCACCTGACTGATAAACAGTTCCTGCAGCACACGGAAACCCCTTCTGTCCCTCCTGACGTTTGCTCTCTGCTGAATGCTTGCAGGATGGGAATCATCGAAACCTGAAATTATGGAGATTGGACAGATTTGTGAATTTGAGCAGTTTGCTCATGGCCTTGCACAGTGGAACTCTGAATATCTCAGAGCCCCTCCCTGTACTTCAAGGGACTTGCAGAGAGCTGGAGAAGGACTTTGGACAAGGGCCTGGAGGGACAGAACAGGGGGCAGTGGCTTTAATCTAAAGGAGAGTGGATTTAGATTAAATATTAGGAAGAAATGGTTCCCTGTGAGGGTGGGCAGGGCTGGCACAGGGTGCCCAGAGCAGCTGTGGCTGCCCCTGGATCCCTGGCAGTGCCCAAGGCCAGGTTGGACACTGGGGCTGGGAGCAGCCTGGGACAGTGGAAAGGTTGGAATGAGACAATCTTTGAGATCCCTTCCAACCCAAACCATTCCAGAGTTCTATGACTCCACAGCCATTCTGGGCTCCTGATCCCGGGTCTGAGCACTCTCAGGCTTAAAACATTTTTCCTCATTTATAATCAGTGTTTCCTGCTGCCTTTTAGCCAAACTCCAGCCACTTCCAAAGGGAGATGTGGGCTCTCTTCCCTACATCTGCCCTCTGGAGTTGAAGACATCAAGAACATTCCTCTCCCAGGCTGAATCCTTCTCCTCCCAGGACCAAACAAGCACAATTCTTGTCTCCATCAGATGCTCCAACCACCTTGGTTCCATCAGCTGCACCAGAATATCCAGGTCATCTTCTGGAAATAAAAAGCTGTACACAGCTGTCAATAAAGGGGAATAATCACTCCCTTTAATAATCACACCCTGGCTGCCACAGCAGCACTGAGCTCAGAATGTGCCTGAGCTGGAGTTCCTGAGGTTCATCTGAAGGGCAGCCCTGCCCTTCCCAGGGGATTGAGTGCTGCCCCAGCCTGCTTTCATCCAGACACTCCATCCCCTG